TTGTTGTATTAAATACAACAAGATATCAACGACCTTTTATAGAACACCATTTTGTATTGTCCACTTATTAAGTCAACGTAAAACAATGTTTTTTTCAATCACCTGGTTACCAAAGTGTTCGTTTTTTTCATTTACCTTAAGGACAACCTTGCATGTAGTACAATTCATTATAGTTTCGTCCCAGGTTCACTTCATTCTTCAAATTAATCATCGCCCAAAAGACACAAGGCTAGTTATCATCATTATATTTTTGGTTAGTATGATAGTATGTACGAATAATTGTTTCTATTGGAGTGTTCAAGTTCTTTGTTGTTGTAAACCCCATTCATATGACAAATATGTGAATTGTCAACAGGTTTCTTTTGTTACTAGGAGTTAGAATAAATAGGTGCAACTACCCAAAATCCAGTGACTGTATTCTGATTGGCTGAAACGACTACATATTTTGCAACTATTTAAATGAATTCAGGTTTACTTTAAATTAATTTAGCTACTGACTGAAATAAGTTAAATCATCCGAAAATATTTTGAACATAGTTGAACCCAAAAGTTTCATCATCATCACCTTCGTTTTACATTTTCACATTCATACATAATGATCGTCTATCCAAGAATTTCAACAGATTTGATCATTATACTGATTCATACTGTTTGTAAGTTGATGAGTGATTGTTTAGGTTTAAACTAATATATTTCATTCAGTAGTTCATGGATCATTTGAACAATCTACAAAATGGTGTGAAAATAATTCATTGTAAGTCTGTTGAAAAAATATTAATGTTTTATGATCACAGTAATGATGGTAATGAATATTTATATGATTCTCTTTAAGTGTCTTTGGTTGATTAGAGGTTTATTAATAAACAGGAATCAGAAGATAAGTAACAAAATATATTCAGTCGACATCAGTTATGTATCATTACTTTCTTGTTAATATTGTTCATTTGCAGTCATCTGTTTACACTGATTGGTTACCGAATGATCGTCAATATCATGTATGTTTAGTTCTTAGTGGTGACCTAAATCTATGGTTTACTTAGCTGCTGGCAAGCCCCGAACAACACACAATCAGTGTTGCCTATCTTCAACCACCTCATAACTTTCTGTGTGATCTAGGTACATAAGTAACACGAAATGTGGTATAATTGTTTGTACTGAGCTGTGAAAAGACATTTATTTCGTTTGTGGTATACAGTATAGACATCAGTTACTAACTATTTATGTTCAGAGTTCACAACCATTAAGCCAATTGAACTAATGTGACTCAAACGATAGAGGAAGCGGTCAACTATAATCACAGTCAAATTAAACTATGCTACAAACAAGTAGTAGAGCAATATCTTCAATCTTCTGTATCAATACTATATCCCAAACATGTTTGTTCTACCATTCGATATACATGAACAAAATTGCAAATGATTACTGTGCAAACTAATCATAAACATATTCTCAGTCTATTTAAATCAGTAACTGAGCCTAAAGACAGACAACTAATTGATAAGCAATCAAATGAGGAAAGGATCACCTCTAGAAGCTAACACATAGAAAGCCCATAGAAAAAATGAAAGTAATCAGAACTACTAAACACGTCTCGACTTAATTAGTTTAAATGACGGTTCTAAAGTAATTAAGAGTATTGGCTTGGAGATATTTCATTTGAATGATATAACTTTCAATATGACGTTCAATGGAAGACAGTGCTGAAGATAAAGTTTCTCGAAATAGTGTATCCATAGTTTCACTGACTATTGATTTTGATATTTTCAATATTTTTGGTAAGTGCGAATATTGTTCATTAATATACAAAAAACACTTTAAAATATTCAGACTGTTTAAAATAAGTGTGAAACTTAGTTGACCTTTAGTCATCCATTAATGCTAATGCGTTATCTTGATATAAGCATGTTTGCTGACGCTTCTATTTGTTTGAAATATCACATCAATTATGTATAAGAATGGTAGTTAAAAGTAAGCTGAGCACACTTCTCAAGAATTTCGTGCTAATTATTGGCATTATTTTCGGTTTCATTTACGGTTCAACTGAATGAACAAACCGTAGATCTTAATCATTTGTTGTTGATTGGGTAGAAAATAGAGTCAGTGATTTCGTATTGAAATCATATTCAAAGCTCTTTACTCTTAGTTTAGATTTATCAACTTTGTAAGATGGATAAACTTGTAGAAGTACTAAATATTTTATTAAATTAAACTGTTCAAGGATATTCATTAAATTACGATTTTAGGATGGCCAGGTCATATCCAAATACTGCGAATTCGGGTATATTTAGCTAATGTACCGATAAAAGTTTGTTGTACTAAGTATACACATTGATATCACATCTTCAAACCCAAATAACTGGTTTTTAATAGCAAATTAATGGTTTTCATCAAATAGTTCCACGCACTAAAACTAAAGTTAGTGAGACATGCATAACAGATTTCACTTACCTACAAATTCCGAATTACTGGTGTGTATAAGATCGCAATACACAATTTTTTGACTAGGAGCTGTGTTAATGGTCACTGCATTAATGGAACGTGTGTGTGTAATACATGTTGGACCGGGAAAACCTGTGAAGAACGAGGTAAGTCAGTCGTTTATGATTTAACTAGCTAATATTACTAATAACAAGAAAATTTTCTGTTCTGTTTTATAAATATTTGGTTACATTCTATCATTTCCTTATCAAGATGATGCTAAAGACTCTTATCTCAAGCCCACAAGATTTAATGTGGTGTATTCTACTTATCCCTGTCTACATAAGTAGTATGTAAACCAATCACAATTTGAATGTCTGTCAAAAGACGCTTGAGAAGGTAGTACTGAATAAAACAGAATGGGGAAGCATGAAGAGATTGAGAGATGGAAGAATCATGAATGATATAGGGATAAGTGATGTAGGATTTGCAAATGAAGTATTCAATGTAACTCTATAATTTTGCATTGAACAATAAATTGGTCTTCCACATCTGAGTTCTTCATTAACTACATTACTTGTATAAGAAATAAACATTACACTGAATGGATAACAATTCACATTTATTAATAAGCTTGTAGTCAAATTTACTTGGCATCTTGTTACAAGAAATCTTGGAAAATCGTCCGTTGGTTAAATTAAACAAAATTTATTCATGAATTGAATCATCTATTTGTAAAAACGTTCAATCATTTGAATTGCGCATTGGTTACAGTTGAAGAAATATTTTCCATTCCATGATTCATAATTCGTTTCTGGTTTATATATATATTGTGAAATATTAACTTTGTAGAGATTACATGCTTACCATTTTAGTACATAGAATTCCAAAATTCACTCAGACAGTATTCACCTTCGAAACCAAGTTTTCTAAATGGATCAATGGAAGTCCGATTGGTAGACTTTCTCTGAGTGATGAAAACTCCTCCTTAGCATCGTGTGGAAGTGTTCAATTCAATATTGTACCTGGTTCAAACTACTTACCAGTAGCTATCGATGGAACAACTGGTATTTTGAAAGTAATTGAAAGTGATTATGAAACAATGAAGAATAATCACACCATCACTTTTCCAGTGACAGTTAGGAATGCAAATACTTCACTAAATATATCTGATGATGCAACGGTCAACATTCTAATTGATGGAAAGTATTCTGAAGAAGAAACAGAAAGTGAAATCACTGCAGTCAAGAGGGTATGATCTCTGTTCATTGTAGTATTTTTAAAAAATCAAACTGCAGTTTTTGTCATTGATTTCACAATTGTTAAGCTGTCACTGAAAGAGATTCATGACTTGTTTCAATTGACACTGTAGTAACCTGTTTCTTTGAAACAAGCATAACAATATGATCAAAGGTTCTTCAAATCTTATCTCACAGTTCTGAGCCTTGATGTTCAAACAGCAACAACAACAACAACAACATCAACAGCAGAATATGAACACGATTAGTGGTATGTTTCCACTGGAGACAACCTACAAATCAGATGAACGTCAAACTCTCATAAAACGCTACGAATAATCATTTTTGTCAAAAATGAAAACTATTTAAAATTATGGTAGTAGTAAGTATTATAAGTAGGCATAATCGTCTTTGAATTCGTATGTATTTCCCAGTCACTTATCCTACAAAACAATGTGGCTTTTAAAATTGCAATCATTATTCATTAATGAATTCGATTGAATGATTCCGATGTTAATGAAATCAGATAGTGTTTTCATTAGGATATTGTGATCCGAATCAGCAAATGTGCACAGTAAGATATACAACCATGATGTGTACTATAAAAATTCATTATGATTTCAAGTTTTCAGATAAGTAATGTCATTTTTTCTTCTTTATAGGGCGTCATAGTTCCACCGAATACTATCAATGTCACATTTTCCAGAGTATACATCCAGAATAATCGAAATTATTGTCTATTCGATACATGGTTTATTGATTCGGTAATTGTCCTTCCACCTGGAAATAACAGTTTGATCATGAAATTTTCTGGTCCGTCTCTAAATAATGTCTATTACGGATATATACAATATTTGTTTGCTTACTACAACGGTTCAAATATAGCAAATAATTATCCTGTGAAGTTTAGTAATCTCACATACTTGAACAATAGTTCCTCGGTAAGGATATGAATGTGGTTTGATTAATTTTACTGTTTACAGCATTTTCTTTTAGAGATTGTAAATGTATGTGTAACAAGGAATGTACAAGTAAATATACATATGACACCTCTTGATTCCTGTCACTAGAGGTTGTTCGTTGTGATGTGGTCTAGCTTCAAATGCCTCATGATTTCAATCTGTGACAAGTTTGATTTATGTTTACTAATAGTAAAATACACTGCGTCTAACAAGCATTAAATGTGTGTAAAAATGAAAAATTGCTAGATAATTTGAATTAAATTATGTAGACACAATCAGGTTTTCTGAATTCACTTTCTGTATAGGTATTACCCTCAGTTAACAATCTATCATGAAGCTGATATATCGTCTAATCCTTTTCTCCTAGCCTTCAAGTTTCCTAATGACAAGTCAAATACTCGTTTCATCTGCTCCTGCGGATGATGAGAAGAACTTCAGTATTAGGATGAGATTCAAAACTGGTCTTTTTCCCGAAAGGACACCTCCTCCAATTGGTACCAGTTTAGTAGTTACAACGGAAGCATTACTGACTCCAAAAATTACCGTAGATTTTTCCATGATCGTTTCTTCGAACTGTCCGACTCAATATGATGCAGTTAATTTCATAAAGTGTCCTCAGTCGGTTAATTATGGTGGAGTCTATGATTATTCTGTGAACTTCTTTTTAAGTAGACCAATAGGAGATTATACGGTAAGTTAGGATTGATATACTTGCATAAGAGTTTGCTAACTTTGTTTTGTTTGTGCATAATGCTTTTATCAAATTACATGATGTGTTTTTTAGGATGTGTTTTAACATAAAGAGAGGTTTTCATAAAGAGTGCTATATAATCAATAGTTTCATACTATGTTGTACCATGATACAGGTTGCTGTAAAACATTTCTTTACACTTCATCATACCGAACTTAAGTCTCATGTTGAAAGATAGTTTACTTGAACAATAAATGAAAGTTGGCTTCTTCTCAAGACCAGACACTAACTTCCATTTCAAATGGGGCAATTTTTAATAAAGTCCGTTTGTAGGTTACTTAGATTTCTTAGCCATTTGAATCAGCAAGTGTTGGTATTCGATATTTATTTCAAATATGTCAATCAATTTTTATGAAAAACTCATCATTTTGCTAATTTATTGAATGTAATCCTCATTTTTCTCAAACAACCAACATTCACGATTGTGTCTTCGTAGTTTGTTACCCTGCAATAATATAATCTTGCTGTTGATTAACGTAAATAAGCTACTTCTTACAGTTCAAATATTCAGGTTCTCAACTTTCATTTATCATTAACGTTAAGTCAATTGCCGTATCAAAGCCCACAATGTTTCAGCAGAGATACGGATGCTGGGAAGTATTAGTCTTCTTATCATACTTAGAATTCTTCTGCTGTCTAATATTCTTGGAGACTTCAATTTACTTGACTGGTTCCTGATTCGAAACGCCACTGACACAAAATCTTATCTACATTTTAAAGGAATATAATGCTCTATATGATCATATCTTCGAATTTGAGATTCTCTGATGATTAGAAAATGGAATGGATCAATTTATAAAACAGGATTTTTGTGGAAAAAGTTACTGGGAATCAGAGTTAATGATGTTTCACAATAAATGCTGTTAAAATCGTTTCTGAATATCAAGGGAACATATTAGTACTCTGATTTCGATAAAAAATAATGATACTAATAAAAATAAATAATAATAATTAATAATTCTTCTGAAATCCTCCAAATCACATGCATTCAGTCTCATATATAATCATGTTTATATGATAGTGTTATTTGGATAAAAATCAACAATCGACAACTTGTAGCATCATTCAAACAATTTATAAATTTATCTAATATATGGATGTACTTTTTGATCATATGGTCACAGATGAAACATATTTCTCACTGTTACACTATGTTAAATTATTGCAAAACTTATAATGAGTGTATGCAATCTAATTAATCATACTCTGATTTTGTTGACAAACATATTTCACTGAATAAACCACAAGATATGAATATCAAAAGGTATTCATATTGCCTAATGATTTTTCAATCCCATGTACATGTTTGATTCATTAATGGATATTTCATAGTGTACAAGAGTCGCTTAAGTGAGACGATTAGTTTCAAACTATTCACATCAATTAGTATTGTTACCTAGCTAAGCCGGAGTGATTTAATTACTCATAGCCTTTTTACTCTTTTAAGACTGAGTTCATCAATGGTGATTAGCTAAACCGAAACACCTAAATTGTCGAACTATCTCGGTTTTGGAAAGTAATCTCGGAAGACTTGTAATGCATAGAATCAAGAAGTAAATGTTCATTGATTCTTATAGTCAGTTTTATTCATTTAAATCGTGCACATTTTGCGCAAAATTATCCGTCAAAAAACATGTTCGTTGTCGTTTTCAATCTACAGATAATCAGTATAAACATACAACAGCACTGAATGCACAACACGTTTCCATAGTAGATTTTCTTCGCAGACAGAATCATCATATAGTAGAAGCAATATAGAAATGTATCCAAGGTTTGCTACTTACCTTCCATTATCAGCACAATCCAGATGCAGTCAATGAAAAATTGTTTCGCTAATCGCAAATAAACTAATATGAAGTCTAGGTATATTACCAAATCATTTCGATTTACATTAGACGATTATGAATAATATAAATTCACTGCCTAAAAGTAATTTCTCTAAGCTTGAAAATTATTCAGTTTATTGTAGGATAGTGAATAAATGTGTCAGGTATTAAAATTATATATATATCCCTTCATCCATACTATCATCAAAAAACTGTGAACATTCTCATTATCGAATACCATATATAGACAAACTTACCAGTTATATGTACTGATTTATTTGATAGTTCACATTCAGCACTGATCAATACAGTGCTTCGATTGGACATATATCTTTAACTCTACCTCCAACATTTGCTACTTATCCAGAAGGTTACAAAATAAATACAGAGGAATTCGTTACATCGAATGCCGTACTGACAACTTTCGGTTACGTAAGTGTTACAAATCTACAGAGTCTAGGTAAGTATTTCAAAATTATCAGTATTATTGAGAATGTTCGCAATGCTTGGTTATAAAATTAAGTATATGGTCACCGAAACTTTAGTAGGCGATTTTATCATCTATCTGAAACGCACTTATGCAAAGTTCAATTCTCATAAATTCTATCATCAAGGAATGCAGTTAATAGATGCATTCAATGTTTCAGAATAGTGAATAAAACATTTTCGATCATTGGTGATAAAAAATCTTAATTCAGTGCTTATTCTACAACAGTTTTTAATCAAGAATGTACATATTTTCAGTCGTTTTATTTTATCCACCTTACTATAACAACAGGAGAGACGAACTTTATATTCACCGTCAATTCATCTACTATGAGAGTCTTCAAATTTATCATTTCTGAACAAAACCGTTTATCATTTGAGTGAAAGTTTTTACAGGATGGTCATAAACTCATAAGTTATTCAAACAGCTATAAAATAAAATTAAACAATGAACACTAATTGAATAGAACGCAATTCCAGTTTACTTGTGGATGTTTTTTACTTTGAAATGGTTGTAAACAAAATGGCATACGACAATCAATAATATGGAACTGAGTTATAATAAAATAAACTAGGTAACTAAGTGATATAAACTGCCAACAAGGAATTGAGTGCAGTTAAATTAACAGAGGATCCTGTATCGCCTATGCGAAATAGTCGTTAATAGGAATGTTAGAAGTATTTTTGATTTCATTTCTAAAGTAGAACATGAAGACTTAACTGGGGAATAAGCGGTATCTCTAGATGATGTACCATAGCTTACCAATGTGCCGTAAACGGAAACAATTGAATCAGTGAGTCAACAGTTACTTAAATAATAAATCAATATTGGAATTTCCGGGATTAGTCTCAATGAATTACTTTTGAAATGTACATTGAACCTTCATTTTGTCTTCAATCATACATATCATAGATACATCGATGAAATGACAATGGGTACTTTTCTAGGTCTTGTCCTATCTGAAACTAGATAGCGGACCTCTAAAATAGATTGTTAGAAGCTTGAATTTAATAGCCGTTACGTTGGTGATACTTTACTATCGTCAATCAAAATATTGGAAAAGAATAAATATTAAAGTAACTTAAAATATGTACTCAGTAATCAGATTCACATGTGAAGAGAAACTTGATAACAAATCACATTCTCTAACGTCTTATTAAACAGAAAGCAACACGGTTCTATCACTAGAAGTGTATATGGAAGAAGTTCTTCAGGAAGCCAGTACACACACTTTTTAAACTCTGTGCCTATTCATTGCAAGATAAACCTAGTCAGATATCTTGCAAGTAAAGGTAGGAAGATGTTCTCAAACGACACTAAAAACAAGGGACTAGAGAGTGAGTGGGTGAGAATACAAATTGTAACCGCAATCGGTTTAATGTGATTCTATTTTACTAAGTTGTTTATTATTATTATTATTATTATTATTATTATTATTATTATTATTATTATCATCATCATCATCATCGCTATTGCTATTATTATCTCCATCAGCGAGACGAAATGATCCTACTATGCACTTTATCACACGATTTATCGTATGACTGTCATATTGATTGTAACTTGACACCTTGTAACAAATCATTCTGACATTTCGTAAGTGATCTGTCTAATTTACTTTGGCAATTTTGAAGTAGTTATGCTGTAAGAAATTCAAAATTCACAAACATTGTTTATTTAACTAGCATGCCTTATATCGGCCTTTGTAATGTAACAGAATTATTATGGTTTTATAACTGTAGAGCCTGATGACGAAGTTACTGAAAATGATTGTTTCCACAGATATTCTTTGTTTTGGTACTTTTTACTTATTACGGTTATTTATGTGATCTATTCCACTGTTATCCTTGACTCACAAACTCCCTTCATTGGTTTAATATTTCCATATATGCATATATATATAACTACATGTTAATCTATATTTTGCTTTTCCAAATTTCATGTAGGGACTTATGATACTTCTCTACCAGTGTCCAACCGCTCAGTTCGTCTAACAGTGTTTATTCAGATCTCTAACTATAGCTTAACATCAACTAGGTTTGAAGCAAAAGTCTCACCAACAGGAGAAAATTCTACAGTGAATGTTTGTGAGAGTCAAGTTACCTCATTTACAAATTACACAGCGGTAAGATTAATTTTAAGTATTCTGTAAAAACTAACTTACCTCATTTCTTCAAATATATAGCCTGAAAAAAACCTCATTTCAATAAAGGATATTCCAGTCTTGAATCAGGTCGAAAAGACTCAATTCTTCACAGTCCAACTAACTGTCACACCAAATACATATTCTTACTATATTCTTGTGGCCAAAATCCAAAATAAAATACTTGGAGAAATGTGTTACATTGAGTACATGTTAGAAGAAACCAATCAAACAAGAAAAGTAAGTGTAATGTGTTGCATCTCGGTAAATTATACATTTGATCGACGAGCCACTAACATCCGATATATTTACTTGCCCTCGAAGTCGTCCACTTTTGAACCTTGAACTGAAAGCAAAAGCAGTGAAACATGAAATCGTTTTCACTATAAAGATTTAATTAGTTAGAGAAGACGAGGATATCTATAAGATCATGACTGACCATAAAATTCTAGCAGCTTTGGGAAAAATCTCCAAATTGGTAATAAATGTAGTAATTTATTTATTGGTATTTGCAAAAGTGATATCGAAGCAATCCGCTCAATATGCACAACTAACATGAAGACTGTGTAGTGTGGCGTCGAGTCGCGGTTGACTATGATCACCACTACAGGAAGACTATGTGCCAGTTAACCGATGAGATCCCTCGTAGGCCAAATATCAGAAGGCAGTTGATGGCTGTAGTCGAGATGTATTTTTTGGCGATCTCGTGGTATCAAAAGAATACCGAGATCGTGCCAGGTTACAAGTTGGGTTACTGAGCGTAACTGAATTCGTGCAGGGTCACGAGTAACGGAAAAATGTATGTATTTTGGTACACTTAAACAGACAAGTACGTTTAAACAATTCCTGGTACAATTGGTTATAATAATAATTGTTTCCATTACACCAATCGCGTTCTCTTGATAAAAGCAGGTCACTACAATTGATCGAACGCAACCCTTAATATCAGCAAAGGAAAAAGTAAATCTTTAAAAATGAATTTGTACTCAGTGAATAAGCTAACGGTTATCTAGACTTAACAGTTGAGAACAGAACGCATTTGTGTTTAAAATGACAGTTACTAGGCCCCTGTCTTGATGTGGACGTCAAGACTGGTGTATAGGACATAACCATTTGGCGAAGCCCAAATGTGTGCCCTCGATTTCACTAATACGAAAAATCTGTTTATCGAATCCGAATGAATAAAGTATGATCAATTCATTCCCTCAATTTTTTGAAAGTTCCAATGGGTGTTGACTCGTCAGAGAGGTTCCAACATTTTTCTTGGTTTCTATCGAACTTCTTGAGAAATTTAAGAGAAATTACAAGAGATCATTTTTAGATCCGGAGATTTCTAAATTACTCAGGTACGACAGAAATAACGCTACCGATGTACATTAACAAAATCATCTTATTTCCTGGAAACAATAAAGTACCATTAAAATGTCAAACATTTTGATGTACTCAAATGAATACATCATGATTGTAATTATGAAATGAAACAACCCAGTCAGTTCACCATAAATAAGTGAGATCAGTAAACACAAATCCTCAGTTATGTAAAAGTATGGTAAATGGAGATAGTACCACTAATCTCAAATATGTAATAGCTGGGAATTTGTTTGATTGTGAAGGTATTCCATCGAATATATTAACAGGATATGAATGTAAGATAACCTGTCGTAAAATCTCGTTAAGTGGTCATTAGAAGCGAGAATAACTTAACTTCTTACCATTTATATTCTTGAATATTATTATGATTATTATTTTCATGCTATAAAATAATGCAAAATAAATATGACCGGAATTCAGCATGTGTATACTCATTAGTGGAAGGTAAAAGAAGACTATCGACTAAACGCATATGACAGGCGTCAAATACCAGTTTAATTTCTGACTACTGATTTTGGAAGTAGAAAGCAACTGATTTAACTATCCTAGGTGTTAATAATCTTAATAAATTTCGAACAATCTGATCACACATATTCTTGTTAAGAACATTTATATATGAAAAAAAGGGTGAACATATACCAAAATGGTTGCAGAATCAGATGAATTCCAATGGTGAAATAAGATCACAGGATAGACAGATATCATCATCCATTGCGAAACATTTGATTGAGACGGGTCATAAGGTTGATATCAAATCAGCACTTGTTGTATTGTACAAAAGCCTTCAAGGACGTATACTAAGGTTTATTGAAGCCTTGGCTATTAGAAAATTGAAACCCCCTTTATGTGTTCAAAAACAATTTGTACTTACACTTAACCTACCCTGATAGTACTGATTTACTATCCAGAGTGGTAATCACATTTGTTTTTGTGTACTTTAATATTTTTCCTTTGTTATGACTTACCCTTAACCTGTCTAGTTGACCTTTTAATTTTTCATATATAAATGTTCTTAACAAGTATATGTGTGATCAAATTGTTCGAAATGTATTGCGCGAATCTTAATAAAGACTGAAGAAAGTTAGCCATTCTATTGCATACAAGATTATAACGTTTTGTATGGAACAACCCTTACTGATGAAAGCGATTAAAATAAGTTTTCAGAGTGATTTTCAAAGGTTAGCTTTATGGAGTGGAAATGAAGTCACAGGACGTATTACTGGTTTACATCTTGCTCGAAACCAATCACTGTGGAAATTATAGCACAATCATTTGCATAATCGAAAAAAACTCGTTTTCCATACTTCACACCTAGTAAATGAGAAATATAACAAAAGTGATTTCATTGAATTATCAATATCATTATATTATACCATGGGTTCACAAGTAATTTTATTTCAACAATTATTCTTAAAACATTAAAGTCATACTTCAAACATTCGGAAACTGTTAATAGAAG